TGCTACTGAACGCCCGATTTCAGGTGTTTGACCTGACCTTGACCCGACCTGTGACCTCAAAATTCAACTTTAAAGTACTCATCTGAAGCGTCTCGTCGCGTTCTTTCGTTTGCCGCCTCGTGCGTTTCGCTGCGCCTATTGGTTCTCGAGTTTTCGGCTGAGGGCGTTTAACGCCCTCCCCCAGCAAACGGTGGGTGGCGAAATACCCCAGCAACTGCCGGGTTAATGTACTTTTACCATCTCAAAAGTGTTTATCATATTTGTACAAAGCCTGCTGTTATTGTCCAACCGAATTCCGAATTGGACATTGGACAAAATGGGAATTGCAAAGGTTTAATTTCCGATTGACACCACTAGTCCGCACTGGTCTGCTCTGGTCCGCGCTGGTCTGCATAGGACCGCACTGGTCTACATAGGACTGCACTGGTCTGCTCAAAGAACCACACTGGATAACGCACCCGACGGCAATAGACAGTGCATGGAGGCGAATGTCTGGCCTCTTTGCATTTTCATACAACAACTTCCTTATTACCAAAGGCTACTTGTTTCAAAGTTCTCAGTCTCTGTCGTTCTTGGGAATGTCATTAAGCATTTTACAGAGACGATAAGGTTCTGTAAGTGTAGCAAAATCGGATGTCTATCAATCAGAGTCACCAGTACCTTGTGGAACTCAATTTCAGAAGCCCATTGAGACGACTTGCTGGCGACAGCCAATTAAGACGGGATAAATTACGACCAACGCCGGTAATTAATGTCATATGTATTTCTGTCCACTAATTAATGTAAGTAAATGTTGCGCAACTCGTTGCGGCGTTTCCTGCTCTTCGATCGGTGCTCTGAGTGCGGCTTTTACGGTGGTTACGCACGGTGCAGCGGCGCGTACGGTGGCTGGCTTTTATGCCAATGAAAATGTCAGACTGATGCATAATGCATAAAATGGAGATGAAGTGGTCATCCCACTCGGACACAGAACAGTGCCCTCGTTCGACCTCACTCATTCGATCACAGCGCCCAGCCCTCTCGGTCTCCTAAGGGTGTGTAACGGAAAGGTTGAAGTCTTACGCCTTTGCAAAATGTCTACGACTTCCAGCGCGTTAGATTAGCGGATGGTATATCTTTGCCACCAGGCTTGGCTTACAGCTCCTCAGACTCAATGTGGAAATCATGTCATTATGTTGCATTTACCGCGGCGCCAGCCGGTAATTGTGCTGGGATCTCCGATACGGCTTCAGCTGTCTTCAGGGAAGCGGCGCGGTCCCAGCTGGACCGGGAGACGACAGTCCACGGGGAATCCGGCAAACAGCGGTGTGCACTTCACGTCGCTCTACGTTGACCCATCTGATGGCGTGTTAACAAGGATTTATATATATCGCGCGCTACTTACAAATAATAAATAATATATTTATCTGCCGGGGCCCATTCATTTGCACGTGACAAATATTGGCACTAAGAGCTACGGGATTTTGCAAGTAGGCGAAAGATGGCTAGATATTAGATAATGATTGCACACTGCACAGCTGTAGTATCGCATTGCGCAGTGCGTAGGACCTTATTCTTGCTGTATACGATCAAAACCGATATAAAAAAAACAGATGCAATCAGAAAAAATGGGACAGGGACTAAGATGGTTACCACCACCTAGCCTTATCCGACTCCCACTATGGCTGCCATCATAGCCTCTATCTGATTCCAGCATAGCCGCTGCCTTCATAGCCTCTATCCGACTCCCACGCCTTCTCCACGCCTCCAGAGTGGAGAGTGTGAGCTGATGACCCAAACTTTGGCGCCAGCGTTTTACGTGTTCCAACTTCAGCGCTTCGGGCGCCGACCACGGACTCACCTAGCCTCTTTTCAGTGACGTCATTGGTATATTTCTTCGCCATCTGCTAGTATTGTTAGCTTAAGCGGATAATGACACGGGGTTTTGGTCAGCATGGATCAATATATAGTGTGTTCTTGGATACGTTCAAGTTGATGAGCTACGTGCACTGATATTCTGTGGGTTTTGTCATTGCCTTGTATAACATATTTTGATGAGTGGTTGGCTAAATTTGCAATTCAAAATTTGTATTAAATGTTCAAATGAATTCCAGCCTTTAATACGGGCTTTTTAAGTAGTTTTCCTTTTTTAGCTCTGTAATAACATCAGCTGGTTGATTGTATTGAATCATTTTGTTGAGAAGACCTCCGAAATTAAAGAAGATTGCAAGTTCCTTTTGGTATCCTTCGCATAGAGATTTCACCCACCTCGGAGACAAAGGTTCGTTTCTGGGATTGCTGTTTAGCATTCGGCACACCTCGTGACACATCTCCCACCCGGGGTGCTCGTTGGTCTTGGCTCCGACTGGCCGGCTCGCCATATCTTACCGGCCGACCTCCAAACACTCGGTCTCCACTCGGAACACTCATCACGGGCTCTTGTCAGCGGGACGATTACGACCATCCAGCATTTCAGCGGTAACTGAGAGCGCGGCGGCTGCGGCCGCGCCCCGCCCAGTCCGGTACTCAGAAACCGGTCGTGTTTGTTTCAGATCCGCCGCAGCGCGTGGAAATACTGAACTCGAAGAGTCTGGTACTGGAGGCTGGCCGTGCAGTGAACCTGACCTGTCGGGTCACCGGGTCGCGACCTCCTCCAGTCATCACCTGGTTCAAGAACGGAGAATCCCTTCCTGGCGGCACGCCGGTAAGTGCACTGTGCGAGACGCTGGCAGCTTGCAATATGTTGACATGTCGATGTGCTTTGCTGAATGCGCGGATCAGTAACAGTCCTGATAATTACAAACTGGGAAGAACAATAACAGATTGAAGAAATAGTATGAAGCGCTCTAGCGAGGAACATCTTGATATATGTAGTTTGAATTTCAAATGACCTTTTCCTCGATAATTAATTGAAAATGCAATAAAAAGCAAATATTATATTGTTTGGCAAATTTTCGAACAACAGTTCATTCTCAAGCCACATGAAACTTGCCAAACAATATAATATTTGCTTTTTATTGCATTTTCAATTAATTATCGAGGAAAAGGTCATTTGAAATTCAAACTAAATAACAGATTGAGCTTTAACACCAAATACTTCTTGTCTTTTAGGGAATGGTGGCCTATTTTTGTCTTTTAGGGAATGGTGGCATTTTTTTTTTTGACGTTTTGATAACTTTGATTCTCGTTATATTCTATAAATGCTACAATAAAAACTTATTGCAGATACATTCGCAATATAGTCGACGCCATTTTTGTAGCGTTTGCTATCTCCTTGTTGTTTCTCCGACTGCCGCACGACTGCACACAGAAAAATATTAACACCGTTAGCGGTGTAATTGCACAGTACATATCTGAGCACTTGAGGAAAGTTAATTTAGTCCCTTCCCCGCTTAAATTACTCGCGCTTCTAAATGAACACCATGAAGAAGGTAATAGAACACTGTTAGGAGGGTTGGGTGTTTTGCTACATGTAGTAAAACACCCAACCCTCCTAACAGTGTTCTATTACCTTCTTCATGGTGTTCATTTAGAAGCGCGAGTAATTTAAGCGGGGAAGGGACTAAATTAACTTTCCTCAAGTGCTCAGACATGTACTGTGCAATTACACCGCTAACGGTGTCAATATTTTTCTGTGTGTGGAACCGTGGCGCGGCGCTCCGCTTGGCTCGGTCAGCGAACGGTGATGGGTAGGCTGTGCCGCAAAACACAGCTGCACTGCGGCGCAGCCTAGCCAGCCAGGTTCGGCAGTCGCCAATGACAGGCCCGCGCTGATAGGCCAGTATGCATAGATATTCACGATCTATGATCACTGTCAGTGACTTTGTTTCACACATGTTACTGTCTGAAGAACGGCATCGCCTCTTTGCATTTGAATTTTGATCAAGGCAACGAGCCGAAAAATACCCGAGTCCATTCACAGTCAATAGGATGGAAAATAGGCTGCTGTTATTTACGCTCAGTTGGTTGTATCGGTGCCGTTCAGCTGGTGCCAACACAACAGCTATGGTTGTTTGTCCCTGAGACAAACTGGTAACGCTGCTTGGTCTCAAGTCTTAGTGTCATAGGAGCGCAACGCTATCCCACCTGCCCTTTTAGAATCATAACAACCTGATGTAAAATTTATTGAATGGTATGAAGCATCACATGTCCAGCATTGCATAATTCATGCACACTGAGAGAAAAAGTTACCAGGGGTGGCTAGTTTTACCCTAGTGTCAAAAATTACTAGGCCAAAACTAACCACCCCTCGTTAAATTTGCTAGGTGTTCTACCAGGGGTTTTACTAGTGACCTAGTTACCATTACCAGACCCATAACCAGCCTTCTTACCAGGGGGTAGTCAGATTTACTAACCCAACTACCACGGTCTAGCGGCGGTTACCAACCCAATAACTAGGAGTTAGTAGCTAGTACCACCCCTTTTACGAGGGGGCTCTCCTTCTTACCAGCCCCTGTACCAGAGTGCTACATATTTCAACCACCCCCCAGTACCACGCCTTTTACTAGCCATATTACTAATCACACGCGATATTGCTGGTGGCCAAACATTTATTAGAAATGACGGAACGACTAGTCATTCAGTGAATCAGCATAGCAGTAGGCTCCGCCGCTACAGCTATAGTGCCGGTGGCCGCCAAGGCAATGTCGCACTGTCCACGTCTCTACTCTGCTGCACGGCAGCGACGACGTCCGCCGGTGCGGCTCCCTCTTGGGGAAGTGACATAACTTTGGTGGACATTTATGTCCATATTATATATATATATATATATATATATATATATATATATATATATATATATATATATATATATATATTATATATATATATATATATATATATATATATATATATATATATATATATATATATATATATATATATATATATATATATATATATATATATATATATATATATATATATATATATATATATATATATATATATATATATATATATATATATATATATATATATATATATATATATATATATAATTTACATATAATTACATATATAATAAAAATTATAAATTATAATGGTTTATAAACCACATCAGGGTTGTTGTCACCGCGCGGACCTTCATGTTCCGTACATATTGAGCCAGCGCAAACTGAACGAGGGCCTCGCGAAGGCTGCGCACTGTCACTACGGTTACACCGTCGATGGTAACAGCGTACACATCTTCGCCCTCGAGAATCGCCGGCGCCGTGGTGATGCCTTCCTCCGCATCGCGCAGCAGCCCCTTCGCTCGGAGGATTCGTGCGAGACAGCGCGCGGTCTCCTCATCTGAAAAGAAAAATATACGTTAACCCTCGCCGGCACAGGGGGGGGGGGTTGATGCAACCCCCCCTAAGTTTTTTCGCGAATAACTCGCGTAAAAAGCGGCCGATCGCGACGAAACTTTCAGTACCCTCGCATTGATCAATTTTACACCTACCCTGAAAATTTCATGACCCTGAGCCCAATGACCTTTGACCTGTGACCTCTTTTCTGAGACCATGTTTGGCCAGAATCGCGATTCGGCGTATGTCGGCTCGCATTAGCCGCGCGTTTGCAAGCTTTTCGTGGTTTCAAACGTTCAAACATGTGATTTGATGTTGCTCCCATGCATTAGGGTGGGTGTCAAGGTCACCTGAAGGTCAGGTCAGGTCAATGACCTTTGGTGACCTCGGGTGACCTCGGTTCACTTTTTCGAGTTTTACATGTTTCTAGGCTAGTTTTTGGAGCTGAATTCGAATTTAGCATCCATTTGAACATTTACGAAGTAGTTTCGGTGCCTTCGTAACATGTTACGAAGCTGTCAGAGGCGGTTGACACGTATTACGAATACCCGTCACAACCCCTACCGGTTGACCTGACCTGACCTGACCCGACCTGGTCTAAATGCTTAAAGACATCATCTATGATCAAAACTAACACGATATTCGTGATCAGCACCCCGGAAAACCACATAGCAGCCACGCTTCACGACTTTCTGACAGGTCCCGATTTTCCCGGTTTTCGGGTCATTGACCTAACCTGGAAGGTCACCCGATGACCTATGACCTTAAAATTGGGTATCATCGGCTTCGTCTCGTGACGGGCAACACGCTCGTTTTTTCCGCGAAGCTCTAGCTCGATCAGGGGCCAAACGCGAGGGGGGGTCGTACCACCCCCCCCCCCCTTGTGCCGTCGAAGGACGCAAAATGGCCTGTGCCGGCGAGGGTTAAGGGGCCCTGACACTTGCACGATTTTGTGGCACGCATTGGCACGAATCGAATCGTGCCCGTGCGCATACTAGTCGCAAACTGACGTGAAGTGTGCGGTAGCTCGTCGTGACTTCGTGCCATGTCGGGGCAAGAACTTTGAAGTGTTCAAAGTTTTGGTCACGACAAAATTTCGTGACCGGATCGTGAACTATGCGCAAACTGTTCGTGAACTCGTCGGGACGGTGCGGGAAGTGCGTAAACTATGCGCAAACTATGCGAAAAGTATTCGCGAACTCGTCGTACCAGCCCTTGTCAATGTTTGGATCTCAGCTTGCTTCGCAGCGCGAAATTTGGGATTGTTTGGTGTTTTTTCCCGAGTCGATTGGACGTCTAGATGGGAAGTTATGACCGAAAATGTATTTAACGGGTCATTTCAGGTCAAAGAGGTCAAACTAGGTCACACGGGCTCAGGTTAGGTCACAGAGGTCAAATTAGGTCACACGGTGTCAGGTTAGGTCAGAGAGGTCACCATGAGGTCACGATGGGTCACGCCACGTCACAGAGGTCAGCCAAAGTCACGATAGGTCAGTCCAGGTCAAACTGGTCACATAAGGTACGGTCATGACAGTTGCGTCACTGGAGCTCACGATGGGTCAGGCCAGGACATGGAGAAATTGGTAATTTGGAGAAATTGGAGAAATTCATGACCTAAGATGACCTCAGGACCATCAGGAGAGTCACGGGTAAATTTTTTCCGACTCAGTGTGTCATGGTTACATGCAGGGCTGCGGAGTCGGAGTCGGAGTCGGAGTCGGTCGGAGTCGACAGTTGTGACCGGAGTCGGAGTCGGAGTCGGAGTCGATTTTAGAAACCCGAGCCGGAGTCGGAGTCGGAGTCACCGAAAATCTGTCGACTCCGCAGCCCTGCTAGGTCTGCGGAGTCGGAGTCGGGAGTTGGAGTCGGTCGGAGTCGACAATTCTGCCCGGAGTCGGAGTCGGAGTCGGAGCTGGTTTTTGAAAGCCGGAGTCGGAGTCGGAGTCGGAGTCGCCGAAAATCCATCGACTCCGCAGCCCTGGTTACATGTAACCCGATGTTTGAGTGTTCAGAATGACGTTCGTCCAAAAGCGGCGCCTTTCAATTTTTAACCATTGACTCATAATGAAGAGAACGCAAAATTGACCCGATCTTGGTTCATCGATATCAAAATTCAGAAATAATCGTCGAAAATTTCAAGGTGATCGTTCAGTCGGTGTAGCTATGCCGAGCATTCTAACTTTATCTGAAGTGATGTCACATGGCGTGAGGTCAACCTGAATTTCATTAAATGCGTCTTCACGAGTTCAACACAATGACACCCTTTGCGCGGCTCTTTTCTGTAATGAGTTATTCGCAAAAAAAGTTTGAATTTTTATGACGTGACATGACCTTACAGTTGTAAAGTAGCATGTCAGAATGTCCGGTGGAGAGTGGGATTAACACGCGCAGTGGAAGGGTTGCGAGTACTACGCCCAGTGGAAGGGGGGGGGCGGATGTCGCCCCCCCTAAGATCTCAGCTCCCACTGGAGCTAGAAAGACGAAATTTGGAGGGTAGGTGGGGGCCATGGGGAACTCTGTTATGTGTAAATTTCATGACCCTCAGTCAATATCTTCAAGGTCAAATGAGGTCAAATGTGGTCAAATCTGCCATATTAGCGACTTTTTTGCGTTTACACGCCGATAACTCAAAAAGTTACCGGCCGATTTTTTTAATCTTTCACTATACGAAAGAGCAAACATTTGTGAGTATGTATGGTGAATTTCTAGATAATCCAACAATAAATATGGCAGTTAGAAGCCTGCGAAGGGTAAGATGTCGCCGGCTGAGGCGGCATCGGCCGGCGCGGGAAACGCGGCAATCACAATTTTGTGTTTACACACTCATAACTCAAGTTGTTACCGGCCGATTTTCAAAATTCAACTTCAAATTTCAACTTGTGAACCGATTTTCTTACTTCTTGCACGAGAAGATCCGCAATTCAATTCTGGACAGGTAGCCGAAATTTCACATTGATATTATGCTTGCGGCGCGAGTTATTGGCGACAAACAGGAGGGGTGGGCGAAATCCGCCCCCCCCCCTCCACTGCGCGTGTTAAGAAACACTGTAGCTGCGTGAACAGGATTTCCATGTGGAAAGAAAAAAAAAAGTTTGACAAGCTGTTTGAGCTGCTTACCGCCGATGCAACCGATCTTCTGGTGAATTTTGTCCATCCAGATATCCATCTTCTCCTCACAAGACGCCCGCAGATCCGGACGCTCCGTCATTAGCGTCATTTCTTTCCACATCTGCAAGAGCAACAAACACTATGCAAATTATCGTTTAACCCGGCAGTTGCTGGGGTATTTCGCCACCCACCGTTTGCTGGGGGGGGGGGGGGGCGTTAAACGCCCCCAGCCGATAACTCGAGAACCAATAGGCGCAGCGAAACGCACGAGGCGGCAAACGAAATAACGCGACGAGACGCTTCAGATGAGTACTTTAAATTTGAACTTTGCGGTCACAGGTCGGGTCAAGGTCAGGTCAAACACCTGAAATCGGGCTTTCAGTAGCATGGACTTCAGGACCTCGCAATGGGCGCCTCTCGTCATAAACTCTGTCAAAACGGTGCACAATCCATCATATAAGGCCTACAAGAGTGTCAGCTCCATGTAGGGGTCAGTCAAGCATAGGTCAGGGTCAAGGTCAGGTCAACCGGGTAGGCACATATCCCCGAAAATCAAAACTGATATTCGCAGCCTGTGACACATGTTTTATGGGTAATTTGGGGCGTAGAACACGATGGTGACATTCATTTTATCATATGTGTACGTGTTTGGCTCAAAAAGTTAAATTTAAGAAATGCATGTATTATGGTCGTGAAGTAGTCACGAGAAATTGCCAAGATTCAGTTCAAGATTTTGGAAAATGCGGAACGATAATCAATAATCGAAGATTTGCCGGTCCCGTAGCTCAGTTGGTTAGAGCGTTGGACTCCGCGTGGTGAGAGCACGCGTTCCCGGTTATGACAGTCCGGGTTCGAAGCGCGACGGGCGCTCGACATTTATGGGCCTCCTGACAGGTATGGTTTCGGTTGGTGGCAGGCCGTAGCCAGGCAAGTCAGCGAGGGGACCGGCCGTGCGCGGCTTTGTGTGCACGTTAAACTTTGGTCTCTAAATTCTGCCATAGAATCGGAATTGCGTGATCGGAGGGTAGAGGGCAGGGTCATCGCAACAAGCTTTGCTTAGCGGTGGCTCTGTCCTTGTGAATCCTTCCCATCAAAAGGTTCGGACTAAATTTAAAAAAAGATAGCCATTTGATTGTTCATAGTATTGGCAGTCTGATGGCGTTTACGGCATGTCTGTATGTCTATTCTGTGATTTTATATGATTTTTTGAACATATGCCGTTTTTGGTCGAAAACTCAGAAATCATGACGTCACTAAAACCTCGATATCTCAAAAATTTTCCGACCGAATTTTTTGAAACTTTGTCAAAATAAACTTCAATTGATTCCGTACAGGTACGCAAAATTTGGCGCGCCTGCGGCGCGCCGTTTTTATGCAATAGCCCGGCGAAAAAAGCAACTCGCGGGTTAAATGTTGTGGCATGGAAACACCTTTGATGAGTGGAGGAGTACCGATGATGTGAAATACAAATGCAAAAAGAAATACCACTCGCACCTGTCCCAAGTGCAGTCTTTAATTCAACGTCGTGAAAGGCCTTCAATGTCTATAATTTGCATATGAGTGAAATTGACTGAATGCTTCCATATAGACCTTAAGTACCTAGTTTTCGAAACCATCGGACTAATGTGCAGCGAAAACACAACTAGCCTCCTGACCAGTTCTTCATAAACACGTTCCCTGCACAAACTCACCCCATCTGCGCTGAAGAGGTACGGATACTCCTTCTTCATCCGACGAATGCTCATGCCGCGCACCACCACATCTTGACGCCGGACTGCGACGCGAGCGTCGCAGCCATGTCGCCAGGCAGGCCTTTGCCGGCCTTCAGCCGCACGGTGATGATCTCTGCCTCGATGGCTGAGATCCCCGCCACCTCGGGGCAGTATTGAGGAAGTCCCGACAGCCTGAAGGTGCGCTTTGCCTTCTTCTTCTCCTGCAGATCCAGGCGCCTTGCAGCGACCGACGGGCTGGACGACTTCTTACGCCGGTTTCGGAAGATATTCCGGAGCTTAGCAGCGACGTACGCCTTAAAAGAGATAGGATATTGATTAAAATAAAAACATGGTAGAAGTGGTTTTCAATACTTATTGCCTAATTTCAAAAATAACAGGACAGAGAAAACTAATTAGCGCACTGGGAAATCCACAGAACAAATTTTACTCTAGTTCAGACGTTATACAACCGTGCTCGTAATTTGTCTTTATCTCTAATACTCTATAATTTTTGGCAGCTGGTTGAAGTTCACGTCTGTGACGCCGAAATTTGTCGTGCAGGAGTCTAGAAAAAATCGGACCTGTGACTTTATCAAAGGGGCTAGGTCCAAATTTTCCTCCAGAAGATGTCAAATTGATGGGGGATAAGGTACATCAAGTTTCGTCTGTCTATCCCCAAGCGTTCGTGAGCTATCGCAAATGTTCGCCGGGGGGGGGGGGGCAAAAACGCCTCCCCGGGCCCGCGCGGGTTAAAGCAAGGTTTTACCACATCTTAGTTATTCATGACTTTGGAGTCACTGCGAGTTACAGGTAAACGAAACCTGAACGCATGATTACTACAGTATAGGCAAAATGCAATGCAAATAGTTGATTAATGTCACACGCGCACATGCCTTCAAAACAACCGTTACCCGCCTCTTACGTTTTGATTCATCTAGCCTGAGATTTGTCCGACGTAGTTTCGATGCTGTCGTTCAATGTTGTCGTTCGTTCGTTCGTTGTTGTCGTTCGTTCGTTGTCGTTCGATGTTGTTTTCGCCGCTCGCCCTAGTAGAAACGCAAAGTTGTTCGTCACACGAAGCCAGCGAAACCAGCCTAGCCCGGAAGTTATTGTTAAATGTATGCATACAGATGAAAGAAATGGGCTTTGTAGAGTTAATTTATTTCGAACTCGTATATTCAGAGACCGATGATGATGATGATTTAGAGTGACAATTTTTTTCACAAAATTGAGACATCTCCAAAACTTTGTGTGTACCACATAAACTAGTAGGTGTACAGGTAAAATGAATGCATAGGTGTATTGTCACATGTATTGCACACGTTTCCTGAAAAACTTATACAAATCCACCCATTCATTCATCATCCTCTTCCTCTTTTCTGGACACATGCATATTTTGAGGTGGATGTGGGGTGCTAAGGGACAGGGAAGAAAAAATAAAAAATAATATCTAAATATAATTTCATAAAGTTTTCTTTCAGTAGGTATTGAAAACACCAAATTCCACATAAAATGCTGGCAAGTTCATGCTTTCATCTCTAACACATCTTAAGTTATATAACAAAACAACTCAAAACTCCCTTAACACTCTCTTTTACAATGATGGGTCAATGAAGACTGATGTAGGTAAATGTGATGTCATCATAAAAAGGCCAAAACAAAAAGGGCAACATAATGACAAGTGACTAGCTTCAAAATGGGTTTTTATTGATGGCAGAAGGGTACTTTTTGGTTCTGTTTACCTTATAATTAGCACATTTTCCAGAAGCGTAAATTGCATTATATGTAATTGGCTCAAAAGGCCATTAGTGGTGAATGAACCTGACTTGTTTTGTGACAGAATATGCAAAACATTTCAATAAATAAATTGTGTGCCCTTTCACACCCCAATTGTGGGCATTTGATGACCATTTCTTGGAATAATATAGGTGTCCCTTAACACCCCACATTGGGGTGCTAAGGGACAATGATGAAAAATAATAAAAAATAATATGCATGTATATATTTTTAAACTTTTATGTAGTAGGCACGTAAAGCACCAAATTCCACATAAAATACTGATAATTTGATGCTTCTATCCCCAACCCTTCTTGAGTTATATAGCAAAACACCTCAAAACTGTCCCTTAACACCCCGTTTTACGGTACTTCAGATTACTTTTGGCACTATGCCATAACAGTGCCATGCTGCTGTTATGATAGAGCCTCCCAAAAAAGACAAACGAAACTCACAGCTCACATGCTTTATTACGTCATTATCAGTTGACCAATGAAAAATCTTATTTTGACTAATGACATATTGATTCCAGAAGGTTCCTCATTATAGGCCCTTTAGACTAATGATGTAAGATATTGAAATTTTTTAAAAAGTCATTAGCACTATTGAATTGCTTCACATTTGATAGACACGCGGCTCGTGTCAGGTAATACCATTTCAGCTTGCGGATACGTCATAAATTCAACACTACAAAGATGATATTTACGAACATCTGTATCACAAAATTTGTGAGGCGGAGAAAGACGAACTTCCCTTTGAACACTTAACAAAAAATAAAAAAAATATAAAAAATTAATATAAAAAATACAGTATACTAACTATTGTAAATATAGTAGGTAACATACAATATTGAGGCTTACGCAGGTAGGTAGGGGAGAGTGGGGAGAACTGGGACACAGGAGAAGTGGGACAGGGTCTGTCATTTAGAGAAGAGGCAGCCGATTTAATTTATTTTTCCATTTTTACGCATTACGATGGGTTATCTTCACCACTATGTCAACAACTTCCTCTTCTGCCGCGCCATCCCGACGATACGTGAGTGCTCCTGAAAAGTTGCGTTTTTTACTGGTTTCTTGAGTACAAACGCAAGCAATGTAACGACCCAATCATTTCTTTTAACCAATATTTGCGATCATTAGGAAATGTTCTGATGCATGCCAATGCTTGAAGCCGACGTGTTGCTTGAAATTGCATTGACATGTTTGTTCATCAACAATGGTCGCCAGGGGAGAACTGGGACAAGGTGTCCCAGGTCTCCCCCCTCTGTCCCAGTTCTCCCCTGCCGATTTATAAATCCCCTTTCAGTGTTTGTAGGATAGGTATAGTGCAGTTAGGAACGGATCCAGAAAATCTCCAAGGAGGGGCCAAAAGGAATTGCAAAACTGATACTTGATCAAGCATATAGGTTACCGTACCTACCTTACTGAATTATGTTTTGAAAGGGTGGCCGTTTCTTTATCATTTCCTTGTTCATGACTCTTCCAAATCCCTTCTGTCCTTTTCAGTTGCCCATCGCGCTCCTTATCTACCTACCTGCCTCTGAGGATGCCCAGACAGTATGCCAGGAAATCCCTTATAGGGTTGACTCCAGGGAGAGTCATGGAGCATGCTGTAAAGCGGGTCGTCGATGGTGAGAAGTCCATTCGAAAGGTAGCAGAAGATTTTGACATTTCAAAGTCAACCCTGGCCAGGTATGTGGTGAAGTATCAGAACGATACTGAAGCAAGAATGGAACCGGCCTATACGCACGCGCAGGTATTCAATACGGCACAGGAGAGCGATCTGAAAAACTTTCTGTTAAAATGTTCAGGCATGTTCTAAGGTCTGACAACACGACAGACGAGGGATCTGGCCTATGAGCTGGCAGTGAAGAATAGCCTGGCCCCCGAAAAATGGAAAAGTGCGAAGACCGCGGGCGCAGAATGGCTGAAGGGTTTCATGTCACGTCACCCTGACCTCACCTTGAGAACTCCGGAAGCGACGAGTCTCGCTCGATCTGCAGCTTTCAACCCGCAGAACGTCAATGGCTTCTTCAACTCGCTGGAAGGTGTGCTTAAAGAGACAAAGGTAAACGGACATCAAATCTACAATCTCGATGAAACGGGCTGTACAACCGTCCAAAAACCACCGAGGGTTTTGGCACAGCGAGGCGCGAAGCAAGTCGGCCAAGTCACGTCCCAAGAGCGTGGAGAGCTCGTGACGATGGTGGGGATAGTGTCAGCCAGCGGCCAGGCACTTCCTCCGGTCTTCGTCTTTCCCAGGAAGACTTTGAGGGACTCGCTGATGATTGGGGCACCAGAAGGATCTTGTGGTCTTGTCCACCAGTCAGGCTGGATGACAAGTGAGAACTTTCCGCACGTTCTTGATCACTTCGTGAAGTACAGCCACTCATCCAAGCGCAGGCCCATGTCGTCCCCTATCTCCCTGTGTGTCCAAGTGCACAGATGACGTCACACGAAGGGGCGGAGTCGGGGGCGGAGCCTGGCGCAACGGCCGCCATATTTGAATTTGTTTTATTAGAATGTATTCTATATTTTGGGTTTCAGTCAATTGTTATCGATAGTTTTATGAACGGTTAGCTGTAATATAAGTGATTTATCAAGAAAAAACACATATTCTGCTTGCAATTTCGATTTAAGTACGACCCGCGCCTAGATTCGAACGCACGATCTTTGGATTACGGCGCAAGCATCCTAACCACTACACTACCGCGGCGGCGTGGCGACCGGCGGATGGGAGGCGGCGGAGGCATGGGGGCTTTTTTACGCATTTTTGGAAAAACTAATGGGTTTAGTGAAAAACGCTTTTTAGATAATTCGAAGAAAAATGTCTTGGCTTTCCGATGATGCACTTAGTTTTGTGCTAGCTTTAGCAGAGTTTGTTCTACAGCGCTTCAAAAATCGCCCATTTGCATAGGACTTAAACGGGACTTTAGGACTTGCCCCCAGATGACGTCACGAGCTGACGTCACGATCAGGTAGAATCGCCGGACGACCCTACCTGGTATATAGGGCCTTGATCCAAGCAAAGTCCCAGTGTGCTTATAATGGACAATCATGTCAGCCATATCAGCTACGTGGCTCTGGAACACGCTAAGAAGAACGGCGTGTATATAGTCACGCTGCCACCGCACACATCCCAGAAACTGCAGCCACTGGACAGGGCAGTGTACGGTCCGCTGAAGACATACTTCAACTCCGCAGCGAACGGCTGGATGCTTAAAAATCCGGGAAGGAACATCACCATCCATCACATGGCGGATCTTATCGGAATGGCCTGGATGAAGGCGGCAACGCCGACCAACATCACTGCAGGATTTAAAGCGTGCGGCATCTGGCCACTAGACAGGAGCATCTTCTCGGATGAAGCGTTCCTTCCATCTGCGGTGACGGACAATCCTTTTCCGGAAGAAGCCGGACCAGACCCATCCGTCGAGCGAGGCGACGACACGGAGCTCGTCGGCTCGGAGCCAGGGCCGTCCAGCCAGCGAGGCGGCGACACGGAGCTCGTCGGCTCGGAGCCAGGGCCGTCCAGCCA